TTTAGGAGGATCTATTGTCAGAATGGAATATAATGTTCATAGGTATGTTTTCATAGTGTGAATATACCTCAGTATAAGAGTAGTTGTGTTTTTGTTATGTTAGAATGAGATTTTATCTACAGACGGCTTCCATGGAGTCCCCCATGTTGAACCACCATGTTTCTACAGTAACCCAGAACACGTGTTTTGTGTGGTTTGCAGCCACCGTAGTTTCGTAGGCGAGTGGTATTTAATAGGATGCAGTCTGCCACTTCACCGCTACATCTACTAAATCCTACACGCTGGTCCTTTCAGCATTTATTTTCCTAAACTTTGGCTGACACGAGGCATCCATGTTTGTTTGCTTTATTAGGCCCTTTTTAAGGCCATGTCAGATATATTCCCAGGTGTGATTAGGGCTTTGATTCTGATGTGAACATGGCATTAAGTTCACAAAAATGTTTTATTTCATTTCTACTCTAATCTAAAGGCAACCATGGAAAGTGTCCAGTCGCCTTTAAAGCATTGACTAGTCATGTTAATCGGAACTATTGTCTTTTTGCCACAGGTCATTCCTGGAGAATAATGTGAAGAGTGCTGTAGCTTGAAAGGTATCTCTGGACAGTTGAGGTGAGACTAAGGACACATTTTTACCTTTGTTACTAAAAACTGCTTTTGTCATCACTGTGTAGTCAACGTAGTGTCAGACTCGTTTGTTTGTTAATGGTGTCTTTCTGTTGTCTGTCCTCAGAGTGAACTGACACAACGATGTGTATGAAGCGTACTGCAGTCCCGTAGCAGCACTCGCCTCCTGCTCGGCTGACAACAACCACTACTGACCCCTGACCCCTCGCCTCAGTGACTGACCTCCCCACTCTCAGTTCACAACGGCCCCCTTATAGAGAGACACTAAAGGGCTCTTGGCAGTAGTGCTTCTGAGCACCACCAGGCTGTTTGAAGGCTCACTAAACGGTGCAGACAGAGGGTGAAGGAAGACACACCACCTGTGCCTAAAGACCACATGCTGTACACAGATCATCAGGGCATGGTCACAACCATTTAACCCAAAGCTACATGAAGCACATTCCTGACATGTGACCAATGCCATAATTCATTACACCAAGATCAACGCCAGCATCTCAAAATCTGCCATAGATACCACTTGTTGAGGCTGTTTAACTTCAACCACGCCCACTTCATTCTGGAAGCCTTTATCACCACCAGCCTTTTCACATGGATTCTGCCAGTGGAAACGGTTCGTCCAATCAACACTCTGCTGTGCAATCTCACCGGCCTTCATCTCCCTGCATGGGACACACAGCTGGAAGGATTTGGGGGGTGATTTGAATAATGTTGATGAAAATATTTTGTAGCCTAAATTTTATGTCATTTGTGCCAGATTTTTAAAAAAAAAATTTAATTTTATTTAAAGAAACCTCAGACTTTACTGCGGAAGCCCATTTCTGCAAAGATTAAAAACAAATAGATAAAAAGTTAGGAATGATAAAAAGAATTAAAAAACTTCATGGTAAGACAAAATTATGTGATACTAAATCAAAACTAGATTATAATATATGATAAGATAAAATTGAGATTTTGGTGGTTTTTGTTTTGTTTCTTTGACCCAACTCAAAATTATGAGATAGTATTAAATAACTACATTTGGACTTTCTCATAATTTTGACTTTTACTAGTTTCATTTTTAATTTTATTTTTAAAATAAGTCTTTTTTGTTTTTGTTTTTTTTGTTTTACAAATTTCAAATCAGAATTTTTTGTGAATCACATAATTTTGACTTTTGATCTCGAAAAGTTAAATTTTTTTATCTTACTTGCGAAGTCAAAACTGACTAAGCATGAATATTTTTATTTTTGTCATTCCTTAAAGTTTTTGTTTTTTCATTTTTTGCGTAAATGAGCTTCCATACTATTCATACTATCAAGGGAAAATATTGTCAGTGATGCTCTAGAAGAGAGAAAAAAAAGTTGTTTTATGTATGTTAAACCACACTGACTTTTTTTTTTAATGTTTCAGTCCACATTTACTAAATTAGTAATAGCATTACAATCTGTATACTGCTAACACCCTGTGCCCTGTCCCTCCCGTCCACTCTGTAACTTTGTAAACGGCCATAGGTACTTCTCCACTACTGCGGAGCTCGCGATGCTGTACTTTTTTGGGGGGAACAGCTTTCTATGGGGTCTGGTTTTTAATTATTTTTATGTAAACCATTTTTTATGCCAGCGATGAATAATGTAATTTAGGAATGTAATTGTAAGCTATTGTAGTGAAATGTTTTTAATATATACAGTATGTATGTGACTCAGTCTGTACCTGTGGGCCTGTTGTAACGGGGTTGGCTGCTATTTAGATCGTACAAGGAAATATTTTGGTACTGTGTCTCAGAATGCTGGGTATTTTAGTGTCAGCCTAGAATATATTTTTGTAGTGAACTGATTAAGAACCCTAATTTTTTTTTTTTTGATTTGTAACTTCACACTACAATTGTGTAATTATTATTACATGTTTTTTCCCAAGAATGAATGTGTCTGTATTTATTTTCTCAGACGCCTAACATTTTCCACAGCATTCCACGTCATACTGCAAAGAAATCCTGCACAGTGAATGAATGTTGTTTCAGAGTCTCTGTATGCTCCACTGAAACTTAAAAAAAGCCATAACATTTAGATTCCCAACCCGTCATTTTGGCCTGTCTGATTATATTCCAAAACTCGGTGCTCTTTTTCAATTTCTGGTTTCTTTGAAAAGCCCAGCTATAATCTTGGTCTTTGTGAGCCGCAGAGGCTGGGCCATCTCTGGTGAAGTGGATAAAAGAGGGATCAGTTGTCATACATGCACAGCCAAGAGTTTTGATCATCCATTATAGAATGAGGCGCTTTGTCTGCTAATTGCCTCGAGCCACGGTGGCTTCGCTGCAACCTGAGCTCTCGAAGGACCTGGCTGAGGCCAGACCAGCTAACAACAGCAGCTCTGTTAGAGGATGACCCTGCAAGACGAGTCCTTGTCATGTGCAACCTGAAGACGTTAAATGAGCGAGAAAATGGTGCCTTTTTGTATTAAGCTTAACCTGTTGTTATGGAGTTGCCTTCCCCCATTACATATTCAGGTCATAGCTCAGAGAACATTGCTTCATATACACTAATTCAGAAATCACCAACTCCCTCTTTATCCGATCCCTGACTGTAAGACAAGAATAGACAAGAAATATTCTATTCCTATTGCCAACCCATGAACTTTTTTCTTTTTTTCTTTTACTTTATCTGACAAGATCTAATGTGTACTCACTTTTATTGTTTAAGCCCTGTTCATTTACATTTATGTAAATAATATAGTTTTGGATAACTGTACTTTGCTGACCAGGGTCAAGGGATGGTAAAATCTGTTATTTTGCATTTGCTTTCAATCAACAACTATTTTAAAAACACAAGAAAATTCAATTACATAAAATTTTATTTGTATAGCTCCAATCTCAGTTAGTTTCACCTCCCCAGGACACTCTTTCAAATCAGACGCACGCGTCCTAGACCCGAACCCTCTACCTACACATTATTTACAGAGACCCCAACAGTACCCACCATCGACAGCACTCGTGCGACATTGTCGGTAGAGAGAGAACGGCATAGATGAGACAAAGGTGCACAGCAACACAATAGCAACAACTATACTCAGTGACGAACACCGTGACTGATGATGATCCAAAGGAAGAGTGAACCAAAAGTCAAAGCACTCTAGGCTTCCATAGGTCCATCATTCCTTAAACTGGCTTATGCTCTGGACGACAGCCAGCGGTTAGCGCGGGTTACTTAAAAACGTGGTACCCAATCGAAATACCTCTGTTCACAAAAAACTGTAGTCCAGTAACCCTAAATACCAGGTACCCATCACATACTTAACATAATGCTTAGATTCTTATTACTTTCCTCGAAACACCATTCATGCACAGAACAGAAGACAACTGAACAATGCGTAGGCCAGTAACACTTTAATAAGAAACCATAAAGACGGAAAGATTCTTTAGCCATCAAATGATTCCTCCTTGTCGCCCTGACGTTCTTAAAAGAAAACACGTTTTAAACATTGCTCAAAATCCCTGCTACAATAAGTCCACACACCTTTTTACTAAACATCGCTAACCTCGTCAATCTGGAGCACCAACCAGCCAACACAAGAAGCAAAGTGTGTCACCTGTCCTAAAATACCTCTCATGGCCCTTGTCTGTGACGATACTTGACCCTCATTTAGCGCAAACCTGCAAGTCCTACTCACGCACTTCCCACAGGCCCGCGCACTGACAGATCCGTTTCCCCAGAGGAAAACAAACAGGATACACCCCTCGAGGAGCCCTTCTTCTCTCTTCTTCTGCCCTCTCTTCTCCTCCATTCTCTCCTTCTCCATCCAGCCACCGTTTTGTTGATCACTCCACAGCAGCCACCTCTCACCCTTTCCCGTCCCAAGTATGCCTCACCAGCCCCTCGGCCATCACTGACACCGGCAGCCAGAGCGATCGACTGCCCAGGCACGGGCTGCTATTATCGTCGCAGGCAACTTTTTACGTTTGGCTGTGCCGGGGCGGAGCGTTCTGTTGCTCGCCGCTCACCTTCTGTCAACCGGTGCGCATTGTGTGTATCCGCATAAACCGCGACACACACTTCTGTTAGGCCTGCTGTGGATTCCGCACCTGGTGGCAGCTGTGGGGCCCGTTGCTGTATCACATGCGTTTAGATGGCGTGCGAGTCACGTCTCACGTTGTAGTATTTTCCTTCACCTTGCTCCTCTTGCCAGCCCGGGGTGACGCAAAGCTTGCTGTACAGTGAACCAAGCTTCTTGAGGACAGGTCGGAGCATCGGGTTGCAGCCCACCAGCCATGCCTCGGGTTTCACCCGCGCCTGAGAGCCAGCCTGGAACGCCATACTTCAACCAGCTGAACAGACGCTCCCGCACTGACTCTACACCCGAAGGGCCATCACAGGCTACTACCAGCAATCAAAACACTTTAGGCGGTGGATCTAAAGACAGCCTTCTCACCATGGCAGTTCTCGAGATTTTATGCGGCTGCAAGCATAACTGACAGATGTGTTCTTCTGTTACCGACCACAAGGGCAAAATCGAGCATCATCTCTTCATTCGCACCACCCTCACAGCCGGCAAACAATTATCAGCACTTTGCATGAACATCTTGTTGTGCTTTTCCTGTTCCACTAAAATGGTCAAGTTCCTTACCTGTTGGGAGTTTGTCTTGCGATGAGAATGCGATATTCGGCGGCAGCCCTTGGCCAACTTACGCAA